GCTGATTCCAGGAAGCCCGGGGCAGAGCAACTCTGCCTCGGGCTTCCTGTAGTCAGCTACTGGTCAGTTTCAGCAGCGGCTGAATCTGGACGCCAGTTCCGACTTACATACAGATTCAACTTAAGAACAAACCTACAGTCCCTATCTTGTACGTAACCCGGGGACTCCCTGTACTGATGGCTTCCCATAAATTTTCCATATAGGCTTTGCAATGTCTCCTTTGCTTCCTTTTTCTGTAAGAAGTACAGTTTCTCCCCACTCCTCCCCAAACCACAAGACTGCATCATGTCTTGAACTGAAGGAGAATGAAAAAAAATCTAATACCTGATATGAGTAATAAAAATAATTTTGTCCTAGTTTCTCTTTGCATACTTCAGGTTTGAGTAATGTTAGAATTTTTTATATTTCAATTTTTATTATTATTATTATATTTTAAAGAAATGGCTAAAAAACCAACACAAGAAGCAAAATGCTTAAAGTGCTCTACCAAGCATTACAAAAGCTAGTTCATCATTTTCAAGATAAAGAGTTCACCATCCTAAGCCACAGATACGGAAATTAGTGGCATAGCACTTTTGATAAACTTTACCTTTTTCACAGTTAATTGTCAGATAAAGTATTAAAGAAGAACTAGATTTTAGAAAAGTCTTAAAGGGAAACTCGGAATGGAGTGCTTTGTCTTTTACTTATTCAAAGAAAGAAGAATAAATTAATTATTTTCTTTATTTTTAGCTTCTCATGTCTGTGTTTGACAACAGCATGAAAACTTCTGGAGTCATTGAAAGTGACCCTTTTGACTGGGAGAAGAGTGGAACTGATGGCTCTCTTACAACAACAACAACGTCAACCACGCCTCAGTTACATACTCGCCTGACCCCTGCTGCAATTGGGTATTTTCAATCATTTCCCATGTTTACCTAAAAGGCCAACCACTTAGCAGCAGGGGAAAGTTATCTGTTATATCTGTTTCTTAGGGTGCTAACTAATAGGGAATTGCAGAATACTAGGTCTCCCTTTGCTCACTATTCAGCCTGTCCTTAAAAAAAACTTTGCTGTCCTAAATGTACAGCATGTACAGAAGGTTGGTACATATCTGGGTTAGGAAATTACTTTATTTACATTTTCCACTCAACCTTTTGCTAAAGCCTATGCTACAAACATATTGCAAATCTCTGGGAGCCAAAGATGAAAAATATTGTACTCATATGAATACAACATAGTATAATAGAATACAATATAAAATATAAATACAGGCAGTCCCCGGGTTACGTACAAGATAGGGACTGTAGGTTTGTTCTTAAGTTGAATCTGTATGTAAGTCTTTCCACTCAACCTTTTGCTAAAGCCTATGCTACAAACATATTGCAAATCTCTGGGAGCCAAAGATGAAAAATATTGTACTCATATGAATACAACATAGTATAATAGAATACAATATAAAATATAAATACAGGCAGTCCCCGGGTTACGTACAAGATAGGGACTGTAGGTTTGTTCTTAAGTTGAATCTGTATGTAAGTCGGAACTGGCGGCCAGATTCAGCCGCTGCTGAAACTGACCGCCAGTTCTGACTTACATACAGATTCAACTTAAGGTCCCTAAGTCAGCCGCTGCCGGAACTG